AAGTGTGCATGCTAAATTGCTAATATTTTCCTGATTTAGACTTGGATTAGTAGACAAAGAAAATAATTCTGTTAAATTTGAACCAAACTTTGAACTATTGGAAGCAATAGCAATGTGAAGTTGGGATAAAATGTGCAAGTCACATACTATTTATATGAATTCACTTTAGAAGAATTTTTTCTTTTTACTGACTTTAGGTGGAGTTATTAAGTTTGATTTCATTGCCAACAGGGTTTGTTCATACCTTCAATTGTTTCTCTAGCTGTTCCTCTGGCTCTTATGTCTTTGACTAGGTATGTGTCTTGCATGAGAAAGACAAGGTGTTAAAGCCCAGTTTTAAAGAGTTACTTTTAATTTCATGAATTACAGATGAAATGATGTGAGTTCTCTTTTTCATTCAGCGAAGTTAATGGAGAGGAAGAAGATTCTCCCAATGATTTGGCATCTGAACAAATGGCTCCCAGAGGGCAACTTGTTTTCTTTGTGGGTATTGGTGCTTTGATTTTTGTTCCAGTATTCAAGGCCTTAACTGGTTTGCCCCCTTCTATGGGCATGTTGCTTGGACTTGGAGTTCTTTGGATTCTGACAGATGCTATTCATTATGGTGAATTGGAAAGGCAAGAATTAAAAGTTCCACAAGCTTTATCAAGGATTGATACTCAAGGAGCTCTTTTCTTCCTTGGAATCCTATTGTCTGTGAGCAGGTAAATATAAGATGAAAGTATAAATGTCGAATTTGTTCCTGTTTCTTGTCTTTATTAATTTTTTTAACCATAGTTCAAGTTTATTATTAGGTTTTATCTGTCTAGAAGTCTTCTCTGTTCAAACCCCCTCCATGCTTGATACAATATTGTTTTTGGCCTCTTATTATCTGAATAGATGCCTCATCCAACTTTATGTAAAATTGCTTAACTAGCATCAACTCTAGTTTTTTTTTTCCCCCGATTTCGAGGTCAGATAATTGGTTTGCTTTTTACATTCCATGTAAAAGCAGTGCTGCAGATAGTGCTAATTTATGTCTTTTGTATCTTTTGATGGTAATTTACGTTACACATCCATTCAACAACTTAAAAGTTGAAGCTTCATTTCTTATATATATATATATATATATATATATATATATATATATATATATATCATTACTTCATTTATGTAATTAAGTTGTGTATTTTATCTTTCTCTATTTGATAAATCTGAGCTGTATTTCTTTAGCCTAGAAGCAGCAGGTCTTCTTCGGGAGTTGGCGAATTATCTCGATGCTCATATTCCTAATGTGGAACTGACTGCAAGTGCAATAGGAGTTATGTCAGCAATTATTGATAATGTTCCACTGGTTGCAGCAACAATGGGAATGTATGATCTCAGTTTATTTCCCCGGGATTCTGAGTTTTGGCAACTAGTTGCATATTGTGCTGGTACTGGTGGATCTATGCTTGTTAGTGGGGAGTTGCATACATGGGAATGGAAAAAGTGGACTTCTTTTGGTACTTGCGGAAGGTAATTCCTGCGTTTTAGTTGCATATCTTTTCAGAAGGAAAAATTAAACACCAATTTTATTTAGTAGAAGATTTCTTTTGGTGCAGGTGAGCAGTTTTGCTTTCGCAGGTTATGCTGCTGGTATTGCTACGTATTTAGCGGTTAATAACCTTCACACCTCCTTACTCTCAACCTTAGCTCAAGTTCCAATGCTGCAGCTTGAATTTAACTATACACTGCCATTTTGATCGATTTAGCAAAAAGGAGATCTTCCGTAAAAGTACTGGTATTTAGAATTCAAGAAATATTGATGGAGGAAAAGGTTCGGATAGTTTTGAGAAATCTCATGTCTGCAGACGTTACGATCATTCTTATCAGAGATGTAAAGAACATGTATTAAGTCATAGACTCAAAGTGTCATGCACATGAAAAGTAAACGTATATTGCATAATGTTGTTTAGATCGAAAAACAAGTTGGAAGGTGAAGTGATAAAAATAATGACATGAGAAGCAAAGAATATTAATTCGAACACATTCAGACTACTAACTTTTGTCGAATTGTTTAGCATTTCCGTCTAAAAATTTTTTTTGGTAATCACTAGTTAAGACGGGCATGGGAATAATGACCAATGCCTATTTGATGGCGATAAAAACCAACCATTTTGTTTAGGGTTTTGTGCGCTTTCCAATTGACTTGAGTCGGCATCCTTAACGCAGCTAACACTTGTGCCTGAGCACCTTAAGCTACTCACGGGAAAAGGAGTAGTACATAGGTGTTTTAAATAAAGCCTGACAATTACCATGCAAAGCAATTCACATGAACGAAATCCGATGCAAATCTGAATAAAAAAAAATTTAACTCAATAATAAACAGACTAGTTGCAAAGTTCAATTATTCCTTTCTTCCCCTCGTCCTAAAGCTACGGCGGAACACGCTCGAATACAATTTTCAAAATTGAGCACTACAATGTAGTGCTCAATGCCCACCCAACCCAATGGAGAAAAAGATATTGTAGTGATACAGCCACCCTACAACTTAAGGGAAACAAACTCTTCAATGGCAGGGACTTCGCCGATCCTCTTTAAAGATTCTTTTCTGGGTTGCTCATCTACTCGTATGGCCATCACTGCTTGCTTCCTTGGAGCAATCCTCCCAACATTCATGAAGCTCACGTTCACATTCTCCTCACCCAAAATACTTCCTACCTTACCAATCATACCAGGTTGATCAACCTGTCTACAAAGTATAATACTACCCTCCAAGCTCACATCGACTTCAAATGACCCTACCTTTGTCAAATGGTGAATTCCATCCTTCACCTATCCTTCAACCTTAATCTCACCAGATTCTGAAATGGCGCTGGCAAATTTTGAGTCCACATTGACAATCTGAACTTGGATGGACTCCAGTCGACTCTCGGGTGAACCATCTTAATGGATGCGTTCCTCCGTAATCCGCAGTCCTCTCCGTTTAGCAGTGTAATCAGCATTAACCAGATGCACAAAAACCACTGGAAATGGGCTCAACTATGCCCTTGGTGATCATCACACGGAGCAACCTTGTGTCAAAGTCATCAGGGGCTCTAGAGGAAGAGTATGATACTTTCACAGTTTTAACACCACTTCCACCTGCTACCAATTGGACAGCCAACCTCCCAAGTTTCTCAGCAAGTTCGACATATGGTTTCAACTCTGTTAGAACCTGCAGGAGAAGTGAACAGATAAGTGATATGAGATATCATGAATGACTGCGAAAATGAAGGCTATATCAACAGGAAAGTAATGAAGAAAAATAAATGGCGAAACTAATATAACTCTTTGTACCTCAGCAGGAACCATTGGTGCATTGACTGCAGTCGCAGCAAGTTCTCCTTTCAAGGCTCCAACAATAGCCACTCCTTCCTGAAAAAATACCAATATTCAATAATATCATTCAAAAAAGAAAGAAAGAAAGTAACAAGGATATACGCATTTAACGATTAACTCACCTGAGCCTCTATTGTACTAGCAGCAGCACCAAGATGTGGAGTCACAGTAACCCTCTCTTGCTGAACCAACTTGCTGTTCTGTTGTGGTGGCTCCTAAGTGAAAACATCAAGAGCAGCCCGAGCTACAATTCCACCATCCGATTTCCTCACAAGAGCCTCTTCATCAATCACTCCCCCACAGGCAACATTGACAATACTAACACCTTTCTTCATCTTAGCAAAAGTCTCATCATTAAGCATCTTGGAAGTAGCAGGAGTGAGAGGCATGTGCAAAGAATAAAATCTGCAGTCGTTATTGCTTCCTCAAAGCTAACTAGCTCTACACCTATAGCACGAGCACGATCAGCCGGGGCATAAGGATCTTGAGCAATAACATGCATGCCAACTCCCTTGGCTCACCGAGCTACTTCTGATCCAACCTTTCCAAAACCCAAGACATCAAGTGTTTTCCTAACAAGGGATGCACCCAAATATTTTGGATATGTTTAAATCTTTATACTCTAGATTTCCCAACATTAGATAAATTTTTATATTTTTATTTCATCTAATTAAATTCAAATAATCCTTTAATATTTAATTTGTATTTAAATAAACATTTAAATTTTAATTTGTAACTAAATAAATCCTAATATAAAATAAATATTTTATTTGCAATAAAGACTTATCCATACTATTAATTTTGCAAAGAATACTAAGCTTTCAGGCCATCCACGTCAGTTGGGCTTTTTCTTTTTTTTTTTAACGTTGTAGCATTTCTCATTTTTCATTGACTTTATTTTGACCCATGTGATCATCCATTTCTTTTCTTTCTTTTTGTTCCATTTTCTCTGTGTCTTTACGAGAGCTTATGTGATTAGTTTTGTCTTTCTTCTTTTCATTTTCTTAGTTACTTTATTAGTTTTTTCCTCATTTTTTTAAGGATAAAGGTTTTTTTTAAGAGGGTTTGACTCTATGTGGAAAAAATTATTTTTAGATCTTAGGATTTAAGGATTTTTTTTATGGTTATAATTGGTGAGATCATGATTTGTTTGTGGATTCATTAGAGGAGTTAGTGAGAGGTTAATTTGCAATTGAATTTTTTGTTGTTCGATCATCATTCCAAAAGCAAAAAAAATTATTGAATAGGGAAAGAATGATTGTTCTTTTTCATTGGTTTTTGGCTTTTTTTTTTTTGCTCTGTTAGAAAAATTGAATAAACAAAGATTTTATCTTCTTAAATAAATTTTTTGGTTGTTCTTTGTTTTTTAGGTCATCTCAAAGAGATAGTTGTTTCATTTGTTATTTCACTTTTTTAATTATTGACTTTTACGATGGGTTTTGTTGATTATTTAACATTTTTCATTTTTTTTTCAATTTATTTTGGTTCCTATTTTTTATTTAGGTTTTTGTTTAGGTTTAAAATTTATTTGTTACATTATGATATATCTTATCAAAGTTGTTGGCTTGCACCATACTTTTCTTTTTTTTATTGTGTACTTTTGTCAGATTTTTTTAATAGATGGTTTGCTGTCTATTGTATTTCACTGTGTTTTGCTCATGGAGGCATCGTTGGTAAGTTTTTTTTATTGCATTTGGGTTTTTTTTTTCTACTTGTTTCCTTTCTTTTGGTTAGTAGTTCATGCTTTTTCTTTGGTTTTTTTTGCCTGTTTTTATCTTCAATTCATGTTTAAGTATGTTATTATTGATTTTATGGTTATAATCCTTGTTAGTTTTTCTTTTGTTTGATTTGGTTTTTTTTTCTTGATTTTTTCTCTTTTATTTGTTATTGCTTTTATTAATGTTGTTGATTGTTTTTTCTGCTCAAATTAAATGTTTGAAATATCATTATTTTGCTTTTCTTTTGGATTCTTTCTTTCTTTTTTTTTATTACTTTCTTCTATGAGTTTTCAGTTGCTCATGTTGCACTATTATTATTTGAAATTTATATTCTTGGTTTTAAATGTTATAGAATAGTTTTGAATGTTTAGATGCCTCTTTTTTAATGATATGAAATATCTTTATTCTGTTTGTTATGAGATGTTGAATTTTTTTTTTTGTTCTATTGTTGGTTGAAATGAAAAGATCTCAAGTTTATATACCATTGTTTTGGAAGATTTTTTTGTTTATATATTTTGTCATTATTTTGCATCAATATATGTTGATTGAAATGAAAAGATCTCATGTTTATATACCATTGTTTTGCAAGAATTTTTTTTTTATATATATTGTGTCATTATTTTGCATCAATGTTTTTAAGGTTTTATGCATAGCTTTGAAACATTTTCCTTTAATGTTATGAAGGTCTTTTCAAACATTTATATGGTTTTGTATATTCATTTATTTATTATGTTAATGTTAATAGATTAATAATGTTATGTTAGTTTTTATTTTTTGACATGTTTTTCATCTTTTATTTTTGTTTTATGTAGAAAATTTTTTCTTACTTTAGGATTGTGCTTCATCTTTTGCTGACAGTTTGTATGTTTGTTGGCAATGACAAGTTTGTTTTATTTATGTTTTTTTTTCATTGTTGTTTTAAGTTTGATCAGTTTGTTTAACTTATCATTTTTATGTTTAGTTTTGTTATAACTTTTTTACAACCTTTTTCTCATCTTTTGAATGTTCGTTTTGTGTTTAAGATTATTTGTTTGATTGATTTTTAACTGTGATATTATTAGAAATGTTGGATTGTTTCATAATTTTGTATTTTCATATTGTACTTTTCTTAAATTTCTTTTAAGAAAAGTCTTGCTGTATTTTGTGTTTCATTGTATTTTTCTATTGTGTTTCGTCTATTTCTTTTGTTTTAATCATTAATTCATATCTTTTTTTTTTCGTTTTCTTTTATTTGCTCTTTTTTGTTACTATTGATTCTTACTTTGGTATAACATCATTTATTTTTTAGAAGTAATTTTTGTTGTTTTGCATTTTGTTTGATTTTAGTCATAAAATGATTATGAGAAACCAAAACTTGCTGAAAGAAAGCATTTGTATAAAATAAAAAAGCCACTTAACTAAATACTTAACTGGCACAACGCATAATGTCAAAGATGTAATACTATGAAACTCCCTATTCTAAATCGTAATGTGAATCTAGTAAGGTAACTGAAGTTATATTTGAGTAAAAAAGATGTTTTAATATGCATAATTTTTGTTGTTTTACTCTGTGAGTTTTGGATTGCTTTTGTTGTCATGTTATTATTTATTTTTTGTATGTTTGATATTAATTACTATAGAATAATTTTGAATGCTTTGATGCTTCTTTATTAATGATATGAGATAGCTTTATTTCGTTTGTCAGGAGATGCTGAATTTTCCTATTTACTTTATTCTTAATTGAAATGAATGAGTTTTAAGTTTATATTTAATTGTGTTACAATAGTTTTTTTTATCGTTTTGCTTATTGTGTCATTGGTTTACATTGATGTTTTCAAGGTTTTATATATAGTTTTGAAGTGTTTTTTTCGTTATTATAAGACTCTTTCAAGTCTTTATGTTATTTTGTACGTTTGTTAATAGATTAAATATATTTTGTCGCTTTTGTCTTTCAATATGTTTTCATAAGTTGTGATACTTATTTGAGATGATTTGGTTGAATGGTTACTGTTTTTTTAATTATTATGTTAAACATATTCTTTTTTTTTTTACTTTTTTTAGGAAAAAATTATTTTGCTATTGAATTGTGGTTCATTTCTTATTAATACTTGTCATAACGTCTAGATCCGGAGATCTGTTGCTAGACATTGACTTGAGGAGTCGTCACTAATCTTTTTTTATTTAGATGCGATTGGCTACCTAACTGAATCTATCCCTTTTAAAAATGATTCCTAAGTTCGACTTAGATATCTCTACAAGGTAAATTTAATGTCTGCGAAACTAGAACTAGGTCTGTGAGTACGATTACATGTGAAGAAGGTTATAACACCCTCACAATATCTATCGAAAGATGGTACCAGCTCGATTTCGTGTTATCTATTAAGCCTTAAAGATTTTACCAAGTAATTAATTATTGAAAATTATTTTTAATTGACTCTAATACTTTTGAAAAAAAATTAAAAAAATTTTCTTACCTCAAGAGAATACAAAAAAATTACTGTTTCACTTGCAGAGGTTCCATCGTCGGATTATTTAACATTTAAAATTTTTCAAAATGAATTCGACTTTTGATATAGATTTTTTTTTGTTTTATAAGAAAAAAACCTCATGCTTTTATACAAGAAAAATTGATATTTTCAACTTTTTCTTAAAGCATTTTTAAAAAATTTTTATTTTCAAGGAAAATTGATACTTTCAACTTTTCCTTAAAAAATATTTTTTAAAAATTTTTATTTTCAAAAAAAATTGATAGTTTCAACCTTTCCTTAAAAATGAAACTGATACAGATGCACGATGTTAAATATGATAATGATGTGTGCAAATGCATAAAGTCAAACAAACAAAATAGTTAGATAATAGATGAAATGAAAGTAATGCAGATACACGATGTTACTTATGAAAATGATGTAAGCAAATGCACAAAATAAAACAAACAAAATAGTTAGGTCACAAATTGTTCTTTCTTATGTTCTATCTTTGGGTTACATCTATCACTGGGTAGAAATAGTTTTATCTTAGGGTTAGGCACTTCTAAGGTTCATTATATGTGGTTCAAAAGCTAAAGTCTAAATGTTCTCAAATTACTCCTTACATCATTGTCCATCACAAACTAGTAAGACACCATAATTTTCACCCATTACAGGTTGTAAGCAAAAAATGTTCAATTTGAGTGAGAGATTTCGCTAGCCCTTGCAGAGGCATTAAAATCTCATGAAAGTAATAGGTACTTTACTCTCTCCTATATGGACGAAACTCAGGTATAGAGCTCATATTATGCATATGCATATGAATGACATAGTTTACAACATAAATAAATAAAGTGAATGGAAAAGAAAAAAAATCCTTACAAATAATTCAATTTTATTAGGCTTTTTGGATAACATAAATTTATTTGCTAGCTTGGCTCTCGATTGTCCCTAGTGGAGTTGTCAAACTGTCATAATATCTAGATCTGGAGATCTATTGCTAGACATTGACTTGAGGAGTCACTACCAATCTTTTTTTATTTAGGTGCGATTGGCCACCTAACTGAATCTGTTCTTTTTAAAGAGGATTCCTAAGTTTGACTTAGGTATCTCTAAAAGGTAAATTCAATATCTGTAAAATCAGAACTAAGTTCGAGAGTACGATTCGTGTGAAAAAGGTTATAGTACCCTCATAACGCCCATTGAAAGATGGTATCAACTTGATTTCGTATTATCCATTAAGCCTTAAAGATTTTACCAAGTAATTAATTATTGAAAATTATTCATAATTGACTCCAATACTTTTGACAGAAAATTAAAAAAATTCTCTCACCTCAAGAGTATGTAAGAAAACTACAGTTTCACTTGTATAGGCTCAATCGTCGGATTATTTAATATTTAAAATTTTTCAAAATGAATTCGACTTTTGATATAGATTTTTTTTTGTTTTATAAAAAAAACACTCATGCTTTTATATAAAAAAAATTGATACTTTTAACTTTTTCTTAAAGAATATTTTCAAAAATTTTATTTTTAAGAAAAATTGAGACTTTCAGCTTTTACTCAAAAAATATTTTTTAGAAATTTTTATTAAAAAAAAAAATTGATACTTTCAACTTTTTCTAAAAAATATCTTTTAAAAATTTTATTTTCAAGGAAAATTGATACTTTCAACTTTTCCTCAAAAAATATTTTTTAGAAATTTTTATTTTCAATAAAAATTGATACTTTCAACCTTTTCTTTAAAATATTTTTTTTAAAATTTTTTTATATTATTTTAACTTTATTCATGTAAAAATACTCTTAAAAATAAACAAATACATTAAAAATAAAAAAATACAAAGGAAAATACAAAAAAAAAAAATGGCTCTATTGGAGAGCTGGCGCGGTTCGGCTCTAAATATAGAAAACTGCTCGAAGGCTTGGCTTGAGAAAATAGGCTCGACTGCAAGGATTGATTGTGGAGCGGGTTGAAACTAGTCGAGCTACAGGTCGAGTTGCCCAATGGTAAAACACGCGAATCTTGGGCTGAATTAAGACACCAAAACGACGTCGTTTTGGAACTATTATAAAAGGTAAAGTTCAAGCTTTCTGCCTCAGATCAACCTTTTTCCTTCTTTCTCTTCTTTTTTTCTCTCTCCTTTCTCTAAAAATTGAATGAATTTCGATTGAATTTTCGTCGAATTTTAAAAAATATCATCAGAATCTGGGTTAGTTCATCGGAGGTTTGCTAGAAAATTCAACCGGTGCTGGAATCTAGGCCAGATTTTGGAAAACCTACCAAAAAATTCAACAGGCACTAGAAAACTCATTGAAAAATTCAATCGATGTAGAAAAATTTCATCGAAATCTGAAAATTTTTCAAAAAATTTTCATAAAATTTTTTTTCTCTTTAACAAAACTCTAAATTTTTTTTCTCTCTATTTGCTGTGTTTCTGATCTATCTGTTCTATTTTTTCCCCATATTTTTGCTCTGTGTGATTGGTGATTTATAGGACCAAATCAGAAGAG